ATGCCAAAAATGCTGCACACATTTTTTAATCTACTGTAGTGAATTGGGGGCTGCCCCAAAGCAACGCATCTTACCACTTGTGCACTTAATACACCGCAGTGGATCAGTCTGGTGTGAACAGGTACCAGAGACACAATGGGATTTGTAGCTAAAGTATAGCTGGAGGGTTGGAGTTGCCCACCATGAAATTCAAGTGACCGATTCACCCGCAACAGTGTGAATAGGGGAATCTCCCCTGAGGGGTGAATGTATGCGTCAGAACACTTGAACAGTTGCTGTGGCAGTTTTCAGCCCTTATCCTTTGACAAAAGCTGATTGACAATTTGTCAGAATGGTGCAGACGAGACCACCCACAGCTTACATGTCTGCCGAGTCAGCAGGACTCTGGCAGCAGAGCTCGAGCAGTGTATGGCCAACTAAAAGAAGAACTCCAGGCAGAAGTAATCTTAACCCTTGCAGTGCAGGGGGGTGGGGTAGCTCCACTGAAAGCGTTAACGGCTTGTTTTCCTCTAGGGACGAAAATAAAGTTATACTCACCTGAAGCTTGGGGCCGGATGGCTGCTACACCGGTCCTTGCAGCCTCTCTCTCCCCCTCTGCGCCAGTGGTCTAAGGTCCTGCGAGCCATTACGTCCTATACAGCGTAGTTATAGGCGAGCATAACTTTGTTTTTATCCGTAGACCAAAATGAGCCCTTAACGCAGCCTTCCTCAATACGGGTGCCCTGGTGCATCTTCTGGCTTCCTCAGGCGTGACTCAAAATGTTGTGGTAGCCAGACTGTGATATGGAGGGGAAAGACTGAGATGAAAGGGGCTCCTGATGCAAAAAAAATAGGGGGGGGGGGCCCTGATGTGAAGGGGGTACTTCAATATGAGAAGGGGAAACCCACTTTTGTCTTTTTGCCTAGGGTCCCCCTTAAAAATCAACAACATTTTAGACTGGGGTGTCTTGAGATTTTGATACTGTTAAAGGGTGCTGTGACAAGTTGAGAAATGCCGACTTGCAGTGCAGAAGTAGCCCCACTGCAAAGGTTAAGATCATTTCGGCCCACAGTTCTTTAAGTAGCATTGTTATAACATATCAATGATACCTGCAAGCACTGTTTACAGAAATCATTAAACGCAAGAACCATTGCTACCACTTCTATGATACCGAGAGAGATCTGTCTGTCAGAATGAGGGCCGAGTCTCATGAAAGCAGAATGGCCATGGAGGTAGAGGAAGTTCACAGCTGTAGGGGGGTTTTTGGACGTTCACTAACACCCAAAACCCATTCATAGACACAGGCTTGCTGACAGACCAGCACATTGGCGTCAGTGTGTCTCTGTATCATTTAGTGGAAGTGGGGTTTGCAGAAAGATCTTTTTTTTAAGACTGGATTTTGTCATTTTTTGTGCAGTATTTCTCAATTTCTCCAACTTCTCTTTCTTCAGCTTATGTAACGCGGCACTTTGTCCTCGCAACTGGAAAAAGAGGCCAACAAAACAGAGGCCGACTGCGAGCAGAGGAAAAAGTAGCTTACTGACTAAAATATATATATCACTAAAGTGCAACTAAAGACAAAACTGTGTTAGTGTTGGAAGTGGAGGAGTGGAGCGCCCCCCCACCAGTCAGGTTTTTATTGCCGTGTCCCCATTAGGGAGAGTCACCCGCTCTATACTTGTCCTGGCGACCATTATCACTAAAAGAAAATCCAAAATTTTGGGTTGTCAGCAGAACAGGATGGAAAAATCCTCCAATGGGGACACTAGTTCTGGTGAACTCCAAGATTTCCCTCACTTTGGAGGAGTTTCCTTTTACTTCCTGTTGTGGCTATGAGACAGGAAGTGATGGGTAATCTCCCTTTACCTCATTCAAAATGTAAAAAAAAATAAATAAATAATAATAATAATGTCCTTAGTTCTACTTTAAATTGTATCTATGGTCAAAAACTAAAAATACCAGCATCTGTATTCCTATCCTGATCCTCCATAAGTTCTCTCCTAATAACCATATCCATCTAGAAGCTTGTAAACTTACTGACCTATGATGCCTCTACACCAGGGGTGGGCAACTCCAGCCCTCCAGCTGTGCTTTAACTACAAACCCCAACACGACGCTGGGAGTCATGCCTGTCACTGTCAGAGAGTGTTGCAATGCCTCATGGGACCTGTAGTTCCACAACAGCTAGAGGGCCGTACTTGCCCATCCCTGGCTTAGAGGCAACTACACCAAGTGTAAGACGACGCGACTCGGGCCCCGGTCACCAATTCTGTTTTTCAAGTTACTAACAATAGGAGAACGTCGCCAGAAAGACTGACAACATGCTGAGCTGCCACCGACTACAATGTGGCTGCAGCCGATTAAAGAGGACCTGTCGGGGCGGCTGTTATCTCTGTCACAGAGGAGGGTCCCGTCCAGAACTGGGAGAGCAACTCGGCATTCACAACACAGTATATTATATCAATGACGATGGGCACAAATATACAGAGTACAGGTCACAATGGTAATATTACTACTACTTTTAATAAATAATATTATTAAGTATTAGTAGCAATAAAAATAATAAATTATTATTATAATAGTAGCAGTCGTATAGTAATAGTAGCAGTAATAACAATAGTAGCAGCAATAAATAGTAGTAATATTATAATAATTATTACTACTGTTTTTCTTACTGCTGCTACTATTCAGAAATATATATATACACACACACACACACATATACACACTGTACATGGGAGTATACTGTGTTGTGAATGCCGAGTTGCTCTCGCAGTTCTGGACGGGCTCCTCCTCTGTGACAGATAACAGACACCCTGACCGGTCCTCTTATCGGCTGCAGCCACATTGCAGTCAGTCCGGGGTCTATGGTACTCTTGCAGCCATGTCTGTGAAGTCGGCTTCACTCCCACGTACCTTACACCAGAATGTCAAAAATAAAGCTACAAGACCATCTCCAAGCAGCTTCACGTTCCTGTGACTACAGTTTCAATTAAGAGGTTTAAAGTGACACTAATCTCAGGAGTTAATTCTTAAAAATACCATTCAAGTACCTTAACTAGTAACAACAATGTATCTTATTTGTGTATTACTCGGCTGTAGCTCCTCCAATCATCTCTGAATTGGTGCTGACACTGTCCTTCCTTCTGGAGGGTGGCTACTTTTGTTCCCCATGGTCCCCGTGTGTGTTGTAAAGTAGTCACCGGTCCAAGCTCGCTCCCATGATTGACTACAATCTTTACAAATGAGTAAACTAAAGGTGAGATTGTAGTCCATTAGGGGAGTGATCTTGGAGCAGTGACTACTTTACAACACACACGGGGACCATGGGGAACAAAAGTAGCCACCCTCCAGAAGGAAGGACAGTGTCAGCACCAATTCAGAGATGATTTGAGGCTCTACAGCCGAGTGATACACAAATAACATACATTGCTGTTTATATTTAAGATACCGGAATGTATTTTTAGGATTTACCGCCTGGGTTTAGGGTCAATGCAATATTTGTACCTGTAGTCACGGGAACACCAGGCTGCGAGGAGATGTTTTGTAGTCTTCATCCTTGACATTCTGGTCTAGAATGTTCTCTCTGGTCCATGGCTCAGTGAGGTCACACGATGACACCCAACAGCGGACTGACGACTCTTCTCCACTGAAACAAGCCGACCAACCGAGAGACTGAAGACCCGGAGATACGATTGACGGACACATCACCACCATCCAATCATTGATCATCTTTTCTGGGGGCGCCAACAATTCTGTCCAGGACATCCTTTGTACAATCAGCAACAATGTATCTCCTTTCACACTTTACTTCAGGATGAGAGGGAACCCCCGACACTCCCCGCGAGAGGGGGAACCCCCAACACTCCCCGCGAGAGGATAGCAATGCATTCTGGGATACGAGACGTCACATTGCTATGCCCCCCAATCATATAATGTGATCTCTACGACATCTGCGTCTACGTGCATGAAACGCGTCAGCGTCTCCAGGCATCTCTGTGGTATGCTTTTATCAAAACTTCAGACCTGGCTGTTGTGCGGTCTTCCAACTTAATGTGCAACCTCTGCACCGGGTCTAATTACGTATGCGGGGGGGCTGAAGAACCGGGAAGAGCAAGCCGGGTCCCCGTGACGTCAACAAGCAAGATGGTGGCGCAGGGACTTGTATGAAGACCGTGGGACCGGTCTTCGTTGGATCTGTTGGGCTTGGGTAAGTAGGGGGAGGGTGGAGTTCCTCTTTAATGTGATGGAGGAATTAAGTTTTGTTTGTAGGGGACCCAACAATCAGTCCCCGTCTGCACACACCTCCAATAACAGAGAGGACTGAGATGTAGAGTGTAGACTGATGACACTGCCCTAAAAAACAACGTCATATGTTACATTTGATCACATTACAGTGCAGAGTGATATACGAGGAGTGTCATCTGATGTACAATATATGCGCTGGATACAAACCTCACCGAGAGAGCGCCACAATCACATCCAGGTGACCGGTGGTCACATCGCACAGGGGTGCCCCTGCCCACATCGCGCAGGGGTGCCCCTGCCCACATCGCGCAGGGGTGCCCCTGCCCACATCGCGCAGGGGTGCCCCTGCCCACATCGCGCAGGGGTGCCCCTGCCCACATCGCGCAGGGGTGCCCCTGCCCACATCGCGCAGGGGTGCCCCTGGTCACATCGCGCAGGGGTGCCCCTGGTCACATCGCGCAGGGGGGCCCCTGGTCACATCGCGCAGGGGTGCCCCTGGTCACATCGCGCAGGGGTGCCCCTGGTCACATCGCGCAGGGGTGCCCCTGGTCACATCGCGCAGGGGTGCCCAGGTCTATTACATCACACAGGGGTGATCACAGTGCACATGTCTATGGTCATACCACACACAGGTGCCCATGTCTATGGGCACAGGGGTGGTCACACTGCCCATGTATAGTGACAACACACAGTACCAGGCACACAATATAGTGGTCACAGTGACAACACACACCCCACGCCCAGTTCCAACACACACGGTCCCCCTACTCACCGGGTTCCCGCTCTCTCCCCCATCTTCCCGTCCCCTCAGCTTCTCTCACACACAGTGAGGAGCGCGCTCCGTGTTCTATTTCCCCCCCTTGGGGTGCGCGCACGGTATCACGCACGGAAGGGAAAAGTAGGAGTGCCGCCAGGCGAGATCACGCCTCCTAATTGGCCGAAGGCGTCTCCACCCCTCTCCTCCTCACCACCGGGGCTTCGGCCCGCGCCCTTTCCCCAATCCTGTAGGAGGTGTGTACGGTGACGTCATCGCGCGTCCGTGAAAGGGGAAAGCGAGCGCGCCGCTATTGGCCGTGTGGTCGCCCGTATGTAAATGAGGTGGGGGGTGTGTGGTTGTGATTGAAAGAGCGGAACTGAGGCGCTGATTGGCTGCGCGAGGTGTCAGCAACGTACACCTGTAGCAGGCAGGCACGCCTAAGGCTGGCCGCCATTTTGTGGGCTGAACCATTGTTAAGGTTGGAGAAGTGACAGGTTCCCTAGTTATACTATCAACATGACAGGGCGATGGCGGGCAGCTTAGGTGTCAGAATAATGTGTCCATCTCATATCTTATGGTTTCAGTGTAAACCAAGACAGCTTACAATATGTAAATACTGACTTTATGACAAGTCAAACAACGCCCACACGTCTTCCCAACCCACCCGACAAAACCGCCCATTTATCTATTTTATCGCCTAGCCAGTTTAGATTGTTTTTTATCATATCAACATTTGTTTCAAATTGTCTGCCTCCGTTATTTTTCAGCCTTTTTTTTTACAGGGGTGGGCTTACACTGGCCTTCCTATTGTGGTGAAACTACAAATCCCGTGATGCATCTCTCACTGGGGTGTGGCTGAGAATCTTGCAATGCCTCATGGGACTTGTAGTTCTACAACAGCTGGAAGCCAAGGATGACTACCCCGGTCCTGTTGTCTCAGTTAACACCAAAAAACCGCAGGACAGGTTGTGTTTTTACAGTTCTACAACACACTGCAGCACCTAGGGGTAAATGAAATGTAATTTTGTTGCATTTCAATAAACTAAAAAAAAAAAGCAAACAGTGCGATGCATCACCACACCACCCCTATACCAACGTTATACTGAACATAACATGTGCTTACCGGTGTGAAGGGGCCCTGAAGCAAGTCACATGTGCGAGATCAGATCAGGGGCGTCCCGAGGCCGGGTGTCACCCCGCTGTGTCGTCATCGCGCCAGCGGCCATCTTAGTGATGAACGCCGGCAGAAAGAGGAGGGGACGTTCACCGGGCGGGATGAGGTATGCTGCTGGGTCACCTCCTCTCTCCTGACACTGTCTGACTGACTTTTTAGAGGGGGTGACACTTTGGTGTCAGTCATTTTGGTGTCACCCCTGCAATGGTGACACCTGGGTGCGTGCCGCACCCCCCTTTGTGATGCCACTGCCTTAGATCACCTAAGACCCCAAACCAGGAGCAGGCAAACTCTGTCCCTCCAGCTGTTGGAGAACTACAAGTCCCATGAGCCATTGCAAGATTCTCACAGCCACTGGCATGACTCCCAGAGACAGATGCATCATGGGATTTGCAGTTTCAACCCAACTGGAGGGCCTTGGGTTCCCCACCACTGCCCCAAACTGTACTGAGTTCACTCCAAAGGGGAAAATACCAAAATTGGAGCAGACAGAATACGGATCACAGACATTCCAACCTGCAAAACCTTATTTCAGGGAGGTGCCCTTTCTGTTTTTTGGTTTGTTTTTTTACAGCGGCCGTTGTCAGAATATAAAAGAAATAATAATGGTAATATATATATATACATACATACACACACACACACACACACACACACACACAGGAGGCAAGCCTCGTTCTGAGGCTACTCTAGAGATCACATGACCTTCCTCCAGGAGGCAAGCCTCACTCTGAAACTTTACCCACTGATATCTTACCGGAAAAGTTTACTCAGAGTAAACCTTTCAGGGAGAAAATGCCTCTCTCGCAGACATCAGGGAGCTGCTGTCCAAAAGAGGGAGACTCCCTGAACATCAGGGAGACTTGAGATCCCTGGGATCAGCTACCCATAGCAACCAATCAGCTTTTCTCTTTCATTTTCAAAGATTATATGAACAAACTGAAGAGAGAAGCTGATGAGAGAGACTGAAGAGAGAAGCACGAATATGTGTATTATCACTTTGCAGTCCGTTCAGTGAAGCTGAGCTCTTAGTCTTCTCACATGCTGTCAGATGACATGATCGCGGTGACCAGAACGCACAAACATCCGCAGCCACGGGGGAAGTGCTGATGGCGGTGAGGAAAACACGTGTGGGCGTTTCGTTTCCTTTGCGCGAGGCGTGCTGAACTTGATTGCGTGACAGGTATGCGTGTGCAACCACCAACGTGTCATAAGAATCAGTCACCCATCACCAGACCGCGCACCATGTACCAGCTTTGTGATCACTAGAACAGGGGTGGGCTACCTCGGCCCTCCAGATGTCTCTGGGAGTCATGCCTGTTGCTGCCGGAGTCTTGCAATGCCTCATAGGACTTGTAGTTCTACAACACTTAGAGATTGCCCACCTCTGTTCTAAATGAATGACGTCCTGCTTGCCCACAGCACCGCGCATCACGAGCAATGGCGGTTTTGTCATTTTCTTTTCCTCTCAGAGCTGCTGATCTCCAGCAGCCTCTGTGCGGCTCCTTCCTGCCTTCAGCAATGGCTGCATGGCCTATCACAGGCAGCCTTTCCTGATGGTGACAACAGTGGACCATGTCTGTGTCATGTGTGTTGAAGTGGGTTGTCACCCTCGTTTCCATTTAGGACAGCAATCAGGTGACGGGGACCCCATAACAGGAAGCATCTGAACAAAGACCTTCCATGGCGAGATCGCCGGGGATTGTTGATTTAATACATTGCTGCAGATTAAAAAATATTGACAGTGACGTAAACAAAAATGGCAAAGGATTTCCAGCGCACTCCCCTGGGTCATCTAAGGGAACAGCATGGCTTTAGTATTCTTTTTTCAGAATTTATCAAAACTGGAGCAGACAGTATCTGGAGCGCGGCCGTACATGGCAACCAATCAGCTTCTGTCCTCCATTTTTAAAGCTTTAGGGTTAGTTCACACCATATGCAGTTGTGATGCATTCCGTTCAGTTTGTCTGCTGCAGCCAAAATACATCACAATGCTTTCCTATGGGCTTCCTCGTGCTGTGTTCACACCATGGCAGTCCGTTCAGTTGCAGCCAGAAAAAGTACTGCTCGTCCTATTTTAGCTGCATCTAACTGCACCGGAACGAATCCAAACGCATGCAAATGCAACGGAACGCATAAAAAAACAACAACAACTGATTGTGGCATCATCCAGGGGGAAAAAACGCATCTGAACGCATCACAAACACATCAAAACGGATCGCAATGCAACTGCGCAGACGCACGCAGTTTCTGGTGCGAACTAACCCTAACTGAACAAACTGAAGAGAGAAGCTGATTGGTTACTATGGGCAACTAGTATACAATGGGGGAATTTATGAAAACTGGAGCAGATGAGAATTCTGGAGCAGCTGTGCGTGGCAACCAATCAGCTTCTCTCTTTCATTTTCAAATCTTAACTGAACAAACTGAAGAGAGAAGCTGATTGGTTGTCATGCACAGCTGCTCCAGATTCTGACTGCTCCAATTTTCATAAATTCCCTTCGATGTCTCTCATTGAAACCTCCGGCAGAGCCATGTAGAGAAAGGAGGAGTTGTCTCTGGCCGGTGTGTAATTTTCACCTTGACCTACTGAGCTCTGTAAACAGCAGTTTTTTGGGGGGAGGTTCTTGTAAAACCTGGGAGGGGTTCCAAGAACCCCCCCCCC